TTGAAACTTCCTCAATAAATGAAGAGATGTTCTTTTTGTACATATGCATTTGTGAAAGATAAAATTTCTCAGCTCTTTGAGCAAATGTATATGTAGTATGATCCATCGTGGATTTTTAAATTTTTTTTAATTTTAATTCTAATTTTTTTTTTTTTTTTTTTTTTTAGAGACAGGTCTCACTATATTGTCCAGGTTGGCCTTGAACTCCTGGGCACAAGTGATCCTCCCACCTCATCCTCCTAAGTAGCTGGCACTACAGGTACCACCACCATGCCTGGCTTCGTCTTGGTTTTTGATTAATTTCATCAAAAGACATAAGTTGTCCATCAGGGTATTTCAGATGACTGCAATTATATATGCAATTTCTTCATGAATATGGTTAATCTTCTCAACTATTATACCTGTGGGACTATTGTTAGTACACCTGAATGTTTTTGCTTATAAAAATATGTATGTTATTATTGCCTATTATGTTGTGTAAAGTGGTCTATGAAGTGTTCTGTCATGTTTTTATTAATATGTTTCTCAAATATTTTAAAAATGTAAATAACTGTATTTAAAAGAACTTAACATTTTTTTTCTCAGAATTATATTTTTTGAATTTTGTTCTTTCGGGATTTCAACATTTGGGATTATAGCATTGATGATTGTGTCTTTCGGGATTATGGCCCAAACTCCACTGTGTACATGAGGTCCACTGATCTTCTAACGGCTCCCTGGGCTCAAATGTCTTCTCCATTGTCGTGTTTCTCCCGATTCATCCGACCAGTGGTGCTTCCCATTGCATTTTAGAAATATTTCTTTTATAGCATTTACCAAGCTTCATTGAAATTTGTTTAGTTGTCTGTTCCTTCCACACTCCCAGTAGCAAACTCTGAGCACAATTATAATAATTTAGATGGATTTTCCCCCCATTTGCATCCGGAGAAGTCTCAATAGAAGATGAATTTCTTTTTTTCTGCAAAGACATAGAATGTAGTATTATTTGGTCTGCTTGATTAGAATTACAACCTCTGTATGTTTTGGAAACTAAGGAGACCAGCAGACAGAAAATATTTGTAAAATCTTCTTAGGAATTAGTTTCAACATAGGAGCCCCAGACCTTGACATTGCTGAGTGTTCAGAATTGTATCTTTCAGGTTAAGCCTGTGACCATTTACTAATCTGAAAATACCTTTCACTTCTTCTTCTTCTTCTTCTCTTTAATCTGTAGGCATTTCTAAGAAGCATATGACATTCATCTTTGAATAGAAGATTCAGTTGAATGACAGTCTTTTTCATTTAGTAGAGGGGTTTTTACTTCAAATTTTGCTGACAGGTTTTCATGACAGCCTTCAAATGGAAGCTTGAATTCACTTGTCATAGCTGTTAAAGAGTTGGATTTCTTCTTTGGTATATTTATGTGATCTGACCCTTTCACTTATTATTGCTATTATTGACCTTAAAAGTACAAAAGAGAAGAGTATAGACAAAGCCTCTATTTTTGAAGGCTTTCTGTAATCTAGCAGCAAAGTCAATTCACTGTTGAATTTTCCTCTTAAGAAAATCATCATCATAATGTGGCAGAATCTTGCTAATTTTCACTTCATACTTGAAACCCCTTTAATTCTCTGGAGAACAAGAGTACCTGGTAGATTTTATTCACTATCAGCAAAGATTTAATAGTAGGAAAATGGTGTTAAGATTTTTTGTATCAAAAAGCATTAAAATAGATAAGTCCAAGAGAACAACATAATTTACTGCTATGTCTTGATTATGTTTTATTTACAATCTGTTTTAATATTTATGTTTCAATATTAAATTCATCAATAAAATAATATTCTAAGATTACAGTAGATAGCTTCTATCTAAAGGCACAGTTATCAGAAGTTTTCTCCTTTCCATATAGGAAAGCCAAGATAACAACATTTTGTGTAACATTACCTGGTTTTAGTTATTTGTCCTGGGGTCTGACTGTTAGATAACGAGGAGAAGGTATAGGTGGAAAAATTATTCTTTAGAATGTATGTTAGGATTCTGTTGTATGACAAGGCTATTAATTTTTTGCAGAAAATTGCTCTTCAAATCCTAACTAAAAACTAACGACTGTCTGCTAAATTCATTAATCTTCTCAACATTTAATCTCATATTCAACAAATAACTAAGCATACAGTTGGAGGGACATGTTCTTTCTAAACTGTTTGGAGCACAGATTTCTTTTTATTACGATAGGGCTGCTCCAGCAATGCCTTTATGATCGTGAAGCTCTTTCCATTAGATTACAGTTTAGAGATTCTTATTATCAACATTGAAATGGGTGGTGTCATTGCTAGAACTTGGTATTAAACATGTCATTTGGCTTAAATAAACAATTATTATTGAAACTATTAACTTCAAAATATTTAAATAGAAGTTCATGTGGGAAAACAGAACCCAAAGTTTTAAGATGAAAATAATTGTGTGTATGTGTTTTCTCTTTTAAAATTCCACTTATTACATCTAGACAAATTATTATTATTTTTTCTTGTCATAAAGAAATTTTATTTTAATTGTCATCGGTTACTCCAAAAGACACTTGGTCATTCTATCAGTGTTGTCCTTACAAAGAGCATATTCCTCTTCAGGCAAATTATTTTAAGCTGCCAAGTTCAGTATATTTTGGTTTCATGCTACAGATTATGCTAATTTTTGCAAAAGTTATTTCTTATGGGATGCCTATAGTATTCTTACAATATTTAAATTAAAAAGAGAATATTAATAAAAAACATTATCAGTTAAATTTTATTCAACCTGACATTTTCTATATGCTACATGATCATCCTAGGTATATAACTAATTTTGTGTGACCATTTATGGTAGATAGAATTTGTGCTCTTTTTAGAGTATATATATAATTGATAGTGGTTATAGTTGTTTCTTGCAATCTCTTTGAAGGTCCTTTGTTTTGGGAGTATACATAATTTTCAATTATGATGATATATTCATAGATATTTTAAATCTCACTTCCTCATGAAGGTAGAGATATGGTCATTCTTAAAAAGAATTGACTAACTCGATGTATTAAGAAAGACACAGTCAAAAGCCAGGAATTCATTTGTCATCCTTCTGTAGTTGTTAGGACAGCTGCACTAATCTGGCCAACTAACCTTTAAAAGAACGTGCAAAGTCAAAGATGTCAGGTTATACCAGTAAATATTCACAAGCAAAGTTTTTATATCAAAGACTGGAACTTTTGAAGATGCCCCTGGGATTTAGTGTACTCTAACATCTATTAATCCCCGATACCTTAGGTGACTTGTCAAAGAAGTGCTACATTTACAAGGAGTGTGCAAGGAGGCCCAAGGGGACAAATTCAGCTAAAGGTCAAGGAAGCAATTAATGTTCTCTACTTTTCCCTAAAGAACTTCCTCAGCAAATGTTGCCCTCTCCCCGCCCCCCTCAGTCTTATTAGCAAGGCAAGTGCATATAGTGAAATGAAAGTTAAAGTTCAAATAAAACATATTACCAATATTATTTGGTTCTTAGAACTCTTCCTGAATGTGAATGCATGCAGTTGTTTAAGAAGTACAGTGAAAAATATTAAATGGAGGAGATAACTCTTGCTGAAGAATATTAATTTTGTTTTTGTTTTTTTCTGCATCTCTGTCAAGAGTCAATGTTCGCAGTAGTGGTATAGTTGGGTGGTGGGCTGGGCCCTTCCTGTGGGGTGTAGTTAAGGTGGAACTCTTTTGGAGAATACATGGTTCTGTCTGGATTCTAAGTGGGACACACACTCACACACACACACACACACACACACACACATCTATTTCCTAGTCCTTTAAATTTGTGAAAATTCTTGTGTTTCCTCAGGAGTTTTCTTGTTTATAATGAATATGTTGATCTCCCCAAACTGTCCCTTTTGTAAGGCTGAGTTTCAAAATTTCTCACCTCTCAGTTGCTCTAATTTCTCAGTATCCCTCTACAGTGGGGCTTCCTCAGAACATGGTGTACAAGTATGATCTGACCAGCATGAAGTAGAACAGAGCCTTTACTGCCCTCATTTAGAAATTATATTGTTAACATGTCCTGGGTGTAATAGCTTTTTTGACAATTGTATTATACTTAGGACTCATATTGAGCCTGTGGCCAATTAAATCTATATATCTGTTTCCCTTCTCAAGCAGCGTTGTTAAACTCAGGCTGAATGTGGTCTTTAGACTTACCTTTATTAAATTTCGCATTGTTATGTCCAATCCACTGTTATTTCACCAAGATATTGTGATCACAATTGGCTTTCCAGTGTACTTGTTATTCCTATCACATTTATAGCATATGAAATTTGATCATACTCAATATTATCAAGCAATTGATGAAAATGTTCGTCACAGCAAAGCTGAGAACATACCAATTATTAGAAAGGTCTATCCAGGTGGGCATCAAAACCACGTGCTTTGGGGGCACTGTGGAAAACCTCTTTCATCCAATCCACTAATGCTTCATGGGGATGCTGTGAGATACCACATGTACTGCTGAAGTTCAGATGATTTTTGTCTATGAATTTGTAGTTTTCCCAAGGGTAGGGACCATGTCTGTCTAGTTAACTACTCCATTTCCATCACCCAGCACTGTTCCTGGCACACAGAGTAACTGGAATTGCACTGTGTGGCCAATATGAATAGTTTGGATCACATACTCCATCACTAATCTTTCTCTTGTTCTGTATGAACTGGTTGGTGGCCCTTAAAATATATTGCTTTTAGAAGTATATCAATTATTTGTTTCATGTAGCATTGTAGAAATGGATAGTGGTGATTTCAACTTCAGTAAAAATCTGAAAGATGTTACCACCCTGATGTATGAAATGTTAGTTTATGAGTTATTTCAAATAGTTTAACTTATTATATTACTTTATTTCATCTAAAGTCAATGACTATTCAAAAGTAACTTAGCCTAAGTAGAAATGCTGCATTTCCATCAGGTTCTTCTTCTTTTTCATGGATTTACTAACACAACCATTGCCTTTTTTTTTCCCCTTTCAGAGATCAGAGGAAACTATGACGATAAGCAGGTGGTCACAGAGATCATGGCAAGGTGTTTCACTCCAAATCTGATAACAACCACTTCCTGGGAAGGTTTTCATTTTGTTGGTCATGAGATTCGGATTACTGAAGCCATGGACTGTTACGGTGCTGTTGTTTGGCCATCGGTATAATTTCACACAAAATTTGCTACATTCTAATTATTATCCAGCCAGTTTGGTTCATTGTTATGTTCTACTTGGAAGAAGAAAATAGGTTCCATAGTTTTACTTTGTGTGACCTCAGATAACATTAAATTTTAGAAATCACATGATTGGGAAATTGCTTCCATCAATTAATTCTATTCTGGATTTTTATTAAAATTTGTAGGACTAATAAAGTTTACTCCTTCAGTTTTTTATGAATTTAGAATAGTAAACATTTTTATTTCCCATTTTGCTGGCATTTGAGCTAAACAATTATAATGAAATCTATGAGTCTCACCTGCAGAATATTCTAAAAGGCCCCCATTCCTTTACCAACTGTCCCATGAAAGGTAGTGGACACACCACCATTGCCTGCCTCAACCCTTTACACTGCTTGGAAATGACTAGTAGTATTAGAAGGTGCTTCCTTTAAAGATGATCAAACCTAAGCAACTGAATTCTGTATTTTTAGTTATCTCTACTTTTTTCCTAACAATCCCCAAAAGCTTTTTCTAGCTAAAATGTTGAACCTATCAATAGACATACTTCTGCTGATAATATTTTGGAGTGATTATGCATGCACACACACAAATACACTCACGTGCTCACATGTGCACATATATCATTAGTGGCATATTTATCTAATAGAAGTTAATTTTATTTTCTGTTACTACTTGCACAGCACCACATTTTTCTTTTTTAAAACTTTCGTAGGCCCTTGTTCTGTGCTATTTCCTGGAAACAAATGCAAAGCAGTATAATATGATTGATAAAAATGTGATTGAAATTGGAGCTGGAACAGGGCTGGTCTCCATTGTGGCAAGTTTACTTGGTAAGTAGATCTTTTCGATTAAATAGGGGTCAGAGAATTTAATGATCAAATATCATTAGTTGTTTTACTATCCGATGTACTATGACCTGGGCCTACTTGTAACTTTTTAATTGTTTGAACGGGCTTCATCAAGAAGCTTTACCAATTTTAAAGTCTCCTTGCTGGCTTCTTTTACAACTTTATGTGTAAGTTGTGTTGATTCTTTTCATAAAGTACTAAGTCACAAGCCTTAGACGAAGCATTCTAGATGGGAGGTGCACTTAAGCCTGTTGGTTGCTAAAGGAGGTGTGTGAAATACCAGGCAGAGACAGGATCTATTGCTGCTGATTCTCATGCACTTTAGATTTTGGTGCTATTTCAGTGTTCCCATGTAGCTGTAGATTCCTTTTGGGTTATGAAGTGCTGTGCTTTTATGAAAAAGCCCCTGCTAGAATAGGGAAGAAGTATTAGAGATCACATAAAAATCACATGTCCATTTCTGTTTTTAGGTGTTTGTCCTTGAATTTATTTTCTCAGTTCATTTCCATTCTTCTTTCATGACCCCCACTACTCTCACCAGCATCTTTTCCAACTCAGCATGTGATAGTCTCTATGTATGCCGGAGCCCGTTTCAGTTCAATCTTTTTTTGTTGTTGTTATCTATTTCATTGCCCTAATTTAGCTGCCTGCTCTGGTGTGCAGTACCCAAATCTATCTTGATTTCCTTGATCTTCAGAAGTGCACACCTGCCACTCTAAAATCTTGAGAGGAATTCAAGATTTAGCAATTTACAATTTTCTAAACACTGGAGAGATATAGGAACCTTGAAGTCCTCCCAAATATATTTTTAAAAAATTTGCTCTGTCCTGGTATTGCTTTCCAAAGTCACCATTTAGTATGGATAGAGTCAGAGTCACTCTCTGATTTATACCTGAAAGTCTCAGAATTTGTGTTTTGGGAAGTCATTTGTTTTATTAAAAAGCATTGATCCTTTTGGTCTGTTTGTCTAACTTGAAACAAATATCAGAAGATGAAAGCTTTGTTTAGTCAGTATTCTTAAAGTGGTGGTGTTTACCTCTCTGACACAAAGATATTAAGTGTAATAGTCAGATAGTTTACATTTAATATGGGAAGAGGTATATTCCTTATCCTAAGATTTTAAAGATTTGTAGAAAATGATAGACCCACCCACACTAGAATGTAAAGGCTTATATTTCTGTGATTCTACCAATGATATGCATATTTCCTTTTGGTTTTAATATTTTCACAAAATACAACCCTTGCTAAGAGACACGTGACATTGTGGCCACGGAATGGGTTCTAATTTGGTCTAAGCTGAACTAGACTTATCTTCCAATTCTGCTTTCCCATTCTTTACCCTGGTCTGTGCTTGTTTGATGCTGTGGAATTGGTCAGTCCTAGATTTATTTACAGATTTTTTTTCAGGCTCTGCTACTGTTCAAAGTTCACTTTAAGGACCAAATTTCTACAAATTTTCTCCTGAGAACTTTCTTCCTGAAAATGATCACCACTATGCACTTTTAACTTGGAAATTGTTTACATTTTTAAGCATTCTGTCACGTGTCTATGATCTTTGGCTTCTGAGCACTACATGCATGTTGTAGCTAGGTTTTAAACATCTTTTGGTGGGAAGATTAACACTTACGATGGGGTCAAGCTGAAAACTTGGGCATAAACATGGATGTCATGATACTATCCATGTGAAGCCATTGAAAAACCTTCTTTCCTCCCACTACTTCTCATGCATGCCCTTCCTGTTCAACTATAGAATGCCCTGTGTTACATACGCTCTTTCTATCCACGTGACTGAATTCTTTTAGGGAGGTGTTTTCATCAACAACTTCTGATTATTCTAATGAGGGTACCAAATATTTTGAATTTCCCTTTCTCTCTATTATTTTTCCCCTAGCATGTAGTAGGTAAATAGAAAACAACCACCACCATGAAACAAACCACAAACAAAAAGCCGGGAGAACAGAGAAATACAGTGGTGTGCACAAGTATCACGGGACTCTACTTTTTTTTCTCTTTAAACAGAGGCATGTGCTGCCTTAGCATCTGTTTTGAAAGGGATTCCCTTTCTGTGTGTAAGAACTGACCAGTCCTTTACCTGGGACTAACAATTGTGCAGAAATGCAATGTGCGTGTTGGCTTGAAACTTTTGAGTGTTTTAGCTTATCCCTCGAGGGTTACTTTTTCTTCTGTTCTTTGTTTCACAGGTGCTCACGTGACTGCCACAGATTTACCTGAATTACTTGGAAACCTGCAGTACAATATTTCCCGAAACACCAAGATGAAAAGCAAGCATTTGCCTCAGGTTAAAGAACTTTCCTGGGGAGTAGCTTTAGATAGAAACTTCCCCAGGTCTTCCAATAATTTTGACTATATCCTGGCAGCAGATGTGGTCTATGCTCATCCTTTCTTGGAAGAACTCCTTGTTACCTTTGACCATCTGTGCAAAGAAACCACCATCATCCTCTGGGTCATGAAATTCAGGTTGGAGAAAGAAAATAAATTTGTAGATAGATTTCAGGAGTTGTTTGACCTGGAGGAAGTTTCCAGTTTCCCTAGCCTGGATATTAAGTTGTATAAAGCTGTGAAGAAAAATCGAAGGAGTGCATGATGTCGTCCTGGATGAGGACATGGAAGCACTAAGGCAATTTCCAGCCAATTAGCACTTTAAAGAAAACCTAAATAATTGGATGTACCACTGACTTTTCCAAAGGGAAACACACACACACATCCTGCTATGAGAATAGAAGATCGTTTCCCAGATTTGCCTCATCCCAGGCAGGGATTTTCCCAGACACAGCACCTGGGTCTGCAGGATTCATGGTAACGGGCTCCCAGTCTGTCTCCATCAGCATTCAGGGCCACCCTCTACTTACGTGGTAACGGGAACTCTTGGCAAAGTCACACTGCACAGCTCCTGTCTGCTCTCCTTGTCTCTTATTTCACCATTTATCATTAGTATTTTAATAAATGGTGCAGTTATTATTTTTTAATGTGTAATTGCAAAATGATGGTTTTTAATAATATTCCTACAATGAACATTGTTATTAATTCTCTTAAACATAGCCTTATGTGATTCTTTCTTTGGAAATAAAGAAATTAGTAGGATCTGCAAATAAATTTGAACAGGCAGATATATAATGTAATGGTAAATCTTAGACTTTGGTGGTTTTTATTAGTGCCAGCAATAGGTGGTCTATCATCTCTGCTTGGCGAGGGGGACCTCCAGTGTAACCTCTGAAATCAGTCAAGCTTGTGGATTTGAGGTTATGGGCAAGGACATGTCACTCTAGCAAATGAAAAATGAATGGAAGCAAACACAACAGTTGAGATTTTGAAGGAGTTATTATTTTATTTTTAAGCCAAGTGTAGTTATTTTGTATCACAGAAACAAAAATAAATATAACAACTTTGGGTTAAAAATATAAATGAAAGGATTTAGGCCTCTAATCTCAAATAATCAGACATATGGCTGGTTTTAAAGTTTAAAGCTCTTCTCATGAACATATATACACCTAGATATTTGAAATTCTGTGTGATTTTTTTTCACATGGGCCTTAGAGATTAGAATAAAGTCTGAAGTAATTAAATCAGTGCAAAAAGAGCGCAGAATTAGAAATTTGTACTTTGTAACTGCCTAGACTGTATTGGTTGGCAACGACTCTGCGGTGTCCTCAGTAACAGTTTTTAGGCTGTTACTGTGCCCCCGGGCTGACACTTCCTCTACTGGGATGGGTCCTTTCTGCTTTGCAGAAAGTGTCAGTCCTCTCAGAGTTGGGCATAGTTGAGAGAGTATTTCCTAGGACCCTGATCTGTGTAAGCCAGGATGCAAACACACGCCTGTGCTTCATACGACCTTCTGTCAACAATGCCCAATATTTACATGGATCTCTGCTGTTTTCACAGTCTGTTATTTACATAAAGTCATTTGCTCCGCACAACCATCTCAGAAGCACGAGTTATATCCTTACCCCTATTTCACGGGTAAAGGTACTGCGGCTGCGAGGCCCCACACCACACCTCTGCAGAGTGGCAGTGCTGGGACGTTCAAGCCCAAGTCTGTTGGGGCCCAAAGCCTATGTTCTTAACCACTGCACTGTCTTTATGTGTTTAAAACAGTAATTTTCAAACGTTTTAAAAAACAAGTGAAGTCATTTCTTCAAAATGAAATATACACCCTGAAAGATAAGCAAACACAGAAAAAAAATGAAAGCTGTTCCTCCTTAAAATTTTTCTCATGTTTCCTGCTGGGGTAGGTCAGCGTAGGTGTGTTTAGAAGGTGACATTTAAACAAAATTGAAAGGAGATGAGGGAGGTAGCAGTGCCGATGTCTGGGGAAGTGTAATCCAGTCGGAAGGATCAGATGTGTGGGGACCTTAAGGCAGAAGCGCCGATCCTTTGATCTTTTTGAAGAAATATCCAAGGCCAGGGTGCTGACTCAGAGCAGAGTGGGCAGGGAGGTTGGTGAGACATGAAGTCACAGGGGCTGCAGGGAGCTGCTGGGTTCTCTGGAAAAAGACTCTGGGAGGGACTTGGGTGAGCAGGTCATTTATTGGGGTGCCGTTGGAGTGAAGCATTATGGAAAGGAGCAGAAGGAAGCAGGACAGAGCGGAGGTCGAGCTGCAGGGCAAGCACAACCACAGCCCAAGCTGGCACCACGTGGAGAACTGGGCCAAGAGTGGCCTCTCAGAGCAGTCGCTACTGGGGCAAGACGTCTGGGCCTTGATAAGGCCACGTGGCTCTGTCACTGGATACGGGCTGTCCTGGGAAGACTCCGTGACCTTGGGTGAGGTGACTCTTCCGCTGAGGCAATCCCTGAAGACGCTGACAGCTGCGGGCTGTCTGCCAACAGCAGTTCCAGCAGCAAAGTAATAAGTCATTCTGAAGCGGGTCTGAGCAACACCTAACAGTGTCCACCATGACCTTTTAGGCCATCGAAAGAACTTTAGCTTTCCTTCTGGTGAAAAGGAGACTCTCTGGATAGTTTTGAGTAGAGGAGTGAAATAACAGTTCTTTGTGTAAGGACCACTCTGGCTGATGTTTTGAGAGTAGGATGTAGGGGCCAAGAGACCAGCGAGGAGGCTGTGGCAGCCGTCCAGGCAGGAGAGGACGGCGGCTGCAGGAGGGAATCTGCGCTGGGGTCGGCTGAGCAGCGGTGCATCTGGAAGCCAGAGCCAAGGGGTCCTCGCACTGCACAGAGCTCGGCGTGTGCAGGAGAGTCCGGGCTGAGCTACTGGGCATCGACTTAGATTTGCCAGCTTAGAGATGATTTGTGGAGCTCCTTCGGGGAGCACAGTGAGTAGAATACACAGAATAAAACAAAGACTGAGTCCTGGGGCACGCCAACATTAAGAGATAGGATGTGGGTGTATTTTGAGATTGTTTTGGAGGTTCTACATTCCACCTCCCCCAAGTTCTATTAGTATCTGTTGACTCTGAAAAAGGTGAATTTAATACTGCGGTGGTTTTTGAACTGGTCAGCACAGTTCCAAGTTTCCTGAAAGTTGCCTCAGAGGCTTCTAGGGACCTGAGAACTGCAAGTGCAACGGAGGGATCTTGGGGTAACAAGAGAAAAATTGTTCCTCTGCTAAAAAAGTTTTAAAAATCATTATTATTTTTAGGTAGAATAGACGAAGTGTCCTTTCAAAGACAGTGTTAGGACCAAACCAACCATATGGTTCCTTAAAGTTCTTCTTTCTGTATGTGCCAATCTGTCAAACACAGCGTTCCACATCCATTGTTTTATGCTGTTTATAGCATTTACTCCCAAATTTTAACACCTGCCCACACACACACCATCTCTCCTTTTCCACTTCATTGTAGGTACTCTCTCACTCTTTTATCTTTTTGCTGCAGTTTCCCCATATTCTTCTAGATTCAATTTTACAATAATTTAATTTCAAAATATGTAATTTGAATAGTTTTTTTCTAAAAAAATTTTTTTATGACTGGGAATTGATTTGTTAACTTCAGTCCAAGAGAGCTATATTGTGAATTTTTGTATCTTTTTATCTGGCTTTTTGACAAGTTAGACTATGTTATTAAAAACCTCAGTTCAATTCTTACAGTGACTTTCTGGATTTCCAATAGAATGAAACTACTGATTGTCAAGGTTTTAGTGGAAATTATCACAGAATAGTTATTGCTTCCCAGCAGACACACCAACCTGCAGGTGCTGTTCTGCAGCTTAAAATTACACACAGGTAATCTGCAAGAGTTTCATGCCCTAGACTGTATCAACTGACTTTAGGAAACTATGTACTGCATTAAAATCTTTTGTCTTAGAATTTAGTGATATATCTTCTTTTATTTGTACCAATTTATATCTATCAGAATTTTAGAAAAATGTTTTTTCATTCCATATTCATACTCCGTTTTTTTTTTTTTTTAGATAAAGAATTAGTGGCACTGGGTAACTTCTTAATATATTTGCAATCAATAGTGCAAACTCGTTATTGTGGAAGAAAAAAGATGAGGAAACACAACACAGTGAAATGTTCCTTTTTTCATTAAGGCCTCAGATTCCAGGAGTTTGGTGTTCTCTACAAATGCCTGTGCTTTATAGACAAAGACCCTGTCTAACTTGTTTTAGGTATCGCCATTTGCATATAAGCAAATAAATAATTTACTAATATCCTTTAGAAGTAAAACAGATCCACTGGGTATGATTTTGATGCAAGAAGGGATTTGCATGTACTATCTTTGAAAACAAGCTGGGCACCTTCGGTTCTATAATAGATATAAAGGAATTAAAGTTGACCATAAGTAAATCAGACAAGAAAGCTTATTGATAAAACTAAAAGAAAATTAACATACTGTGCTTCTAATTCATTTTAATTTAATTTTCATGAAAATCTGTAGGTGGAAGAAATAAAAATTGTCAAATATATGTATTTAAAATTCAGAAGGTAATAATAGGAAACAAAACTGGGAACAGAGCAGACACATACATTTGCACAAGTATGGGGTACAGGCAAAGCAAAATAAAAAAAAAAATAGACATTTTTGTTAGAGTGTATGCACGTGGACCCAGTGCTTTATATCTACTTCATGAAGCCTGGAAGTGGTTCACACGAGTCACACACCCAGGTTTTGCCATGTTTGAGTTTGTGATGTGAGATTAAGTCTAGCTAGCATATTACCTGCAAGCCCAATGTCAATATTTGCTCTGCCTTCAAGCTCCTCATAAAATCAAAGACAGCGTTCTGGATAATTATGTGGTAGTACTAATGGGATAGTTGTGTTTTTAGGTGGCCTTAGTTAGCATCAATTAGTTCTAAGGTCATGTTAACTCCTGTTATTAAGGATTCCTGCGCTGCACATTCGTGTTTGCTCAGGTCGTATATAGCTGTGTAGTGTCTGGATTGCTGGGTATACGCTCCTGACTGCTTGTTCTATTGAACTAACCTTTGGTCACGAGAGGTGCTTTTATTGGACAAACTCGAAGGCAGGACTTTTTCCTGTCAATTCTCTCAATTTCTTTGTTTCTAAGGTAATTGTCTTTCTCTGAAATCCAGTCGTTTTGGAATTGGCACTCACCATCAAGGAATTTTAAGAGACCACTGAAGATGAAAACAGATGTCTGGGTCAATTTTGTGATAAACGGCATTA